CGTCGCGCCACCGCCTGAGGTGAAGGGAGGCCGCGATGCCGCTCTACGAGGGCCTGGGTAGCGGTGGGGAGAAGACCGCTGTGGTGATAGACCTGGGCGAGGCCTTCACCAAGTGAGTGGCGTCGCGCTCCCCGCCCCGCCTGCCCCCTTTCTGTCGCGACAGGCTTAGCGGGGCGGGCTGAATAATTGTGTGGGGTTTTTTTTCCCCTTCACCCCCTTTCTGTGGTGATCTGCATGGTACAAAGCCGACAATAACAGCCTTGTTTTTTAGTCTCGTGTTTTAGATTAAAAAAGGGTATAGGTCGAGGTGGAAGCAGAAATGCTCAGTATTTGGTAATTTATGTCGTGGGCCAAAAATGTAGCCTCTGCCCACCCCGTGTCAAAATCCCCCGTTATGTTAGAAACCCCCAGCTCCCCCCACGCTCGTGTCCCAGGTACACAGCGCTTGTGGAAAAGGGGCTGTTTAAACAATCCGTCCCCACGTCCAGGGTTAAAATACTCTGGAAATGTGGCCTGGGGTTCAGTGGCCTGTTTGGAAAGGTGGCCTGCACAGAGAAAAAAAGATTATCTTGCAAGAAAAGCCCCTCCTCAGATGTTTGCCGCGCTTACTAGGCGAGGCCTGCGCCTGTGGCTGTGTCCGTGTGGGTGCATTTACCTGCTTGAAGCACTGAGGATTTCTCTGCTTGTCTAAAGAGGCAGGAGTTGCAGGAACAGGGTTTCTTGTCCAAACCTGTTTTGTATTAAGTTGTACTTCCTCTTTTTTCAAGTGACTGTGTAATTGCAGACCAGGCAGGCTTCGTTACCTGCAAATCGCTGCAGTGTAGTTATGGAGAGGATTGGACAAAGCCTTCACAGGTGGAAACAAGTGATTCCATGAGTGGCTTCTTGTGGATTCATGTTGTGTTGCTGATTGCAAGCTTTTCCCAAATTTGGGGGGCTTGTGAGGTTTTATCTCATAGGCATTATGTGTCTAATAAAATGCTCTCGTGCAAAAGCATTTCCCTTGAATAGTGTGTTTTTAGGGTCTATTTCCAACCTTTGTTCTTGTAGAACAGATAACAACTTAATTATATGAGAGACATCTGTCCCTTTCCAAATAAGGCTGAAATTAACCAAAAGTTCAAAAGTTGTCAGGATGACAGGCAAGGACAACTACCTATACACGTTGGGGCCACACAAGTCTCTGTTTGGGAGACCAAAGAAAATTAAATTCTGAATTATGTCTATTTTTAGAATTTTTCTGAAATGATCTGAAGAAACATATTGATAGTTGCCAAACACCAAAATAAAGTATTAATTGACCTTTTGCATTAAAAGTTCTTGAACTCCAGCAGATTTATAGTTTTCTACCATAGTTTTCTTCTGATGTTTATGCTTAATGAGTTTCTTAAAATCAAATCTTGAGTTTCTTTTGGTTTTAATTTGCCTTCTTCAGTCTGTGGTTCTTGTGTCTTTTAAGGTGCAATCTCTTTATCAAAACCAGACGGGTTTCCAAAAAGTTTGTTTTGGAGTTGCTACTATTTTTATGCAGATGCAGAACTCTCATGTTTTGTCAGGAGTCCTGGAGCAGTAACCAGTCATCTTGAGGCGGTAATACTTAAATCACCCAGGGTGCTTGTGAAAGGAATGCATTTCAAAGTATTAAACAAGCTGGAAATAGGAAAAAAGCGTCAATGGAATGGTGCTGGTCAGCAGTGAAATAGGCCACAGGACCTGCATGATCGTGGTCATTAAGTCTGTCTTTTGTTTCTTCTAAATAAATGTCACAGAAAATGAGGATGTAAAGAGGATGCGGTAACTTAATCTTGCCTGTGTTTACGTGAGAGCTTCAGTGAAAACTGTGGGCCTGTATGGAGGACACAGAAAGGTATTTCTTTGGAAATTTAATAGGCAGTAAGGAAAGTAAACAGAAAACTACTCAGTGGAAAGTAGGAGGCATATCAGAGTTGAGCATTAAAATCCTTACAGAAGTGAAGAAAACTTGTTTTGTTTAATGCAGCTGAGAGGGAGTCAATAAAAAGATATACAAACTTTCTAATTCAAAATGGCTAGATAGAAAAACTATATGCAAAACACCTCCTTGCAGTCACAGAAATATCCCTAATTAATTACTCTCTGATGATTCCTAGGCCCAGCATGTTAAATAGTGACTTCACATGATAAGGTTTCCAACGTTTTCTTTTAGGTGTGGTTTTGCAGGAGAAACAGGACCAAGATGCATTATTCCTAGTGAAATAAAGAAACCCGATGTCACAAAGGTAAACTATTTTACCTGAACTTTTTTACCTTTACAATGTTTGGTATGTTATGGTATAGAAAGAATTTGCAGATACCTTTTTTTGTCAATCATAATCTATTTTTCATTATCTTATAACTGCTGCTATGAAAAGATTGTAACTAGATACAAGTAAGTGTTACACCAGCACTCATGTTAATTGGTGCTCATCACCCATGCAGCTTATGTGTGGGGCATTTATTGAGAAATTTCTTTGCCTAGCTATGCTTCCCCCCTCCCCCCCCCGCCAGTAGAGGATGGCAGCTTTGGAAAACTGATGTTGAGATAAGTTACCAGTACAAAAAATTAGCATTAATTAACTCTGGAGTTTAGTTATAGGGTGAGTTTGAGATGCATTGTTAGGGACATAGAGCAAATCAGGCAAGAGTGAGTATTTCTTTATACATGTCAGATTATATATGTTCAGATATAATATATTATCACATATATATATCATATGTATATTTGTTAATATATAATCACTGCCTAGTATTTCAGCTGACTGGATATTTTTACTTTACAGCCTGTCAAAGTTGTTCAGTATAATATTAATACAGAAGAGCTATATTCGTATCTGAAGGAATTTATTCACATGCTGTATTTCAGGTAAGAGATACTTGGATGTTAGTTATTCAAGCCTTCTGCGGCTCTTTTTTGAGTACTCTGAGGTATTAGAAGTGTGACTGGAGACTGCTGTCTCGTTGAGTAAGGAAACAGAAACAAGATTTTGCAGGTGGCTGCCTGGCTGTGTTCTCGCAGGAGAAATTTGTTGGTGCTGAGATTCAGGTAATATTACAAAGAGTTAGTGTCCTGCAGCATCAGTTGCTCTCTAGAAATAAAAAGTATTTGATAAGTTGCCTTTTAACTGTGGCACTCATAAAGGACTTAATAGGGGAAGGTCATTACCTAAGGAGTTGTACTGATTTTGGTAGGGCTGAAGCTCATCTTATATCGGTGCAGAACTCTCTCCACATTACAGTGGTTTGGAAGGAGGAATATCAACCTGTGGAATATTTTTACCTCAATAATACATCTTTGTATTGTATTTTTAGTGAATTTCATTAGTGAATAATGAAGTTGGACTTAGTCTTTTCTCTTTACTTCTAATCCATATTTTTACACATTAAAAATCATCATCACTTGACACAAGGAAACAAATACGTAATTTCTGTGCCTCAGATCTTCTGGTGTGGGTTGGGTTTTTTTTCCTGACCTTGATCATCGCTTTGTAATTGAAATCAGGACAATTCCATCTTCTTCCACTGAAATCAGGATATCTGTATCGTCATTCTTCTTCTTTTATGGGCACACTCTATGACACTGGACAAGCCATTAATGGCGATTATGTATGCCTATTTTTGCATTTCTTTATATTGATTTAGAAATGTATAACAGATACTCAGAACTACAGCCTGCTGGCAGATAGCTCCATAACTTGTTTTCTGTAACTCAGTTTCCTAACTTTCTTTTAGGAAAGTGTTGGGTTTTTTAAATTTGAGGGAAAAGACTTTGGGATCTGCTGTAAGAAAATGCTATCTAAATGCAGATTTTTAGGATTTTTGAGGAGAATGGAATATGAAAATAAGGTAGGTCTCATAATACGTGCTTAAACTTACCAGTTTTGTTTTACACATCTTGCCTTTTTTAGACATCTGTTGGTGAATCCCAGAGACCGCCGTGTTGTGATCATAGAATCTGTCTTGTGCCCTTCACACTTCAGAGACACGCTCACAAGAGTCCTTTTCAAGCATTTTGAGGTACGTGTTTTACATAACTAGTGCATGTGCTCAGCGTAGCACTTGCTGGTAGAAATTTTACTTACAATCACTACCAGATGTGGACAAAGAAGTGAAAATAATGCCAAAAGAATGAGAGAGGCAGAAAGATGATGACAAAAAGTTGATGGTCGTCTGGGAAATTAGGGGTTAGAGATTGGACTAAAGGCCATTTTTGTTCCATTCTGACTCTTCATGAGACCACAAAACAGGAGCTATTAACAAGAATCTGAAAGGTTTCTCTGGCTTGTATGAAAATACAGCTCACATCGCACTGTTCCAGACAGATCCAATAATCCCCATTGAGTACTGCCTGAAGCCAGAATTTATATTTAAACACTTGTTAGTGCTCTGTCAGCAAATCTCATGACTTCTAGCAGAGTCAATATCTTTGCCTAGCATGTGATCTAACCTCTGGCTGTACTCATTTAGATAAGAGCTTACCTGAAATCTATCATCTTCTCTGCTTAATCAGTCTTTCTGAAGAAAAGTCTGAACCTAATTCTTGCTTAGTTCTAATGGAAAATGTTTTGGAAGGTGAATCCATACTTCTTCAATTCAGATAGAACAAAGGTTAAGGTTCGTTTGTAAAAAGTCGTGAAACTAGTTTGTCTGCAGTACTTCTTCACTGTGTTTCCACAACACAGTTTACCAACTAATCTTAAACTTCTGCATAATTCTTTCCTACTATTGATAAGATTTTCTGATGACTTGAAATTGCTGAAAGATTTGAGTGATTTGGTGTTTTTTTTTCCTAATCCCCTCACGGGGGAAAAAAAAAAAGGTCTCAGATAAAGCATTCCCGTGCAAAATTGGTTGTCGGAAATGACTCGTGACTTGGAAAGTCATATTTTGATGGAGAGACTTTGTAACTTTTTAAGAAGCCAGCTAATACTGATGTGAGGTTAATTCTCTCTGGCTAGTATTTCCATTTGGTGCAAAGAATAACAGTGGCATGTTAATACAGGGTCAACATTATAACTTGTGTCTCTGGGCTAAGTATCAGTAATGTTGCCCTTAAATGCAGGATTTATTGAAATTGCTCATTTAATTAACATTTCAAGGTGTTCCATTAAAGGAACTGTCACTATCCAGGAAACTTGATTTGTGGAATTCTGGGAGAAGGAAGTAATTCTCAAGTAATTTTGACTTGAGTTTTCACATTGCTTTGGGGAGAGCGTTTTAAATAGCCTCTGATGTGAGGTTATGTGCAACAGAGTGTTGTCATAAGCACGCTTTTATGGGTTTTCTGGTACCTTTGTTCACATCTTCAAGTCTGTACAACATTTCAAGTAGCTGTGTTTTAGTTTCTTTCATTTCTTTTCAATGACAATGACAATAAGAAACCTGGTTTATGACTTAAGACGAGTTCTATAGTTAACACTTGCTTTTCTTACAAGCTCATTCCAAGATTCATTATTACTGAAGTTACCGGTATGTACCACAAATAAGATGAATGTAGAATTTAGAATCCTGTTGTATTTTGTTCATTACTACACTACCTTAAAAACTAAATTAAGAATGGATACCTCAAGATACAGTTGTTTGGGTTTTGCTTTTAGTGTGACGTTTGGGGAAAGCATCAGTGCTTCGGGCAGTTTGTTTCTTTTTCCCCCCTTCTGTAATTGTCCTTTTGGTTTCTATGTAGGTACCTTCCGTTTTGTTTGCTCCAAGTCATCTAATGTCTCTGCTGACGCTTGGGATCAATTCTGCCATGGTACTAGACTGTGGCTATGCAGAAAGCTTGGTGCTGCCTGTATCCTTTAATAATACACAAACAAAATTTTCAGCAATAAGGCTATCATGACAAGATGATATTTTTATAGACTTCAAGTGTGCTAAAAAGTAATAGGAACAGATCAGCCAGTCCAGCTTTTGACTATAAGATATCATGACTTGGGGAATCTCTTCACAGCTGACATGCTAAATCTGTGTTCCCTTGAAACTTGGGAAGGGTGGTTCATAACTCCAGCCTTTATATACTAGAAATTAGTTTTGGAGAAAAGCAGTTAGAAAGTTTTTCAAATAGCTAATGCAAGAGAATGTTGAGGGGAAAAAGCATTTAGTTCCAACAGACTGAAAACTCGTAACAAAAAAGGACAATTTCCTGATCTGCGTGTAGATATATGAGGGAATTCCGATTCTGAGCTGCTGGGGTTCTCTTCCTTTGGGAGGAAAGGCTATCCACAAGTAAGTTCACAGTTACACGTTCCAGGTTACCGATGATTTATTTGTGAAAGTTCATATTTGACTAATGACCAAAGATTCCTATTGAATGTGACTAAAATCCCATTTTTAAAGTTACCATTGTTTGGCTTTTGTTGATGTAGTAAAATCTGTGGAAATCAGATCTGCTTTAGTTCATATTTAGAAGAATGTAACTAAAGGGAATAAATACTGTCCCTTAAGCATAATAAAGAGAATCAGCCTGAGTTAATAGCTATCTTTAACTAACTTAATGTGCAATGTTTTAGGGAGCTCGAATATCAGTTGTTGGAGCAGTGCACAGTTGATACAGGATTAGCCAAAGGACAAAGCCTTCCATCTGTGATGGGTAAGGTCTGTTTGATGTGGCATATGTGCTGTGAACTTGCACTGGAAAAAGTGGATTAATACTAACAGTGAATAAAATGAGTTTAGTATTCATCAGATCTTACGTGATCTACTTTTATGATTTCTTTCTCCATATTTAACAAGTATATTATTTTTATGATAAGCCATTCATAATAGCAGGTTTGAATGAAGGCTGAGATAAAAGTTTTGTAGTAATTTTTCAGTATGTTTTGAGAAGATGAACTTTTAATTTCTGTTCTTAATATTCTTTCTTCCTTGAAAATCTTTAAAAGCTGCTGTCAAAGTGAAACTTTAATGTACTAAATGTAATTCAAACTTAGTTTCATTCTTAAATTCTCTTTCTAGTTAAGAAGCTTTTGTTCTAAGTTATTTTTTTATTTCAGGCTCAGTTCCAGAAGACATAGTAGAGGATATAAAAGGTAAAATTTTCGGCTTTGTGAAACTCTAGTTTATTAAATTGTGCAGTAGAGTATGATAGTAATAATTGTGCAATACTTTACATTTAGGAATTTATTTTATCTTCTCTGTTTACATATTTCTTACCTACTGGAGGAACTTGCAATGTTCTTCCTCTTTGAAAGCAAAACGAAAACCATGTTGAATTCCTTTTTCAGGTTTAGCCTTTGTGTTGTTAGCTTGTAGATGCATTTGGTACAGTAGCGCAGAATGAGTATTACACTACTGTATATATCCTATGATCAGCAGATCAGGTTAACTTCGTGTTGCATTTGTTAACTACTGACATTTTGTTTGCTGCGGTTGAATGTGTACAGTGTGTACTCTACAGGGGACTTAGAGTTAGCAGAGCTAATGTTCAAAACCTGTTATCATAGATATGTTTTGGTTGCAAATGCAGCATTTAAGCAGTCAGTCTTAACATCATGACATTAGAATATTTTAAGTTAATTTTGTTTATAAATTAACTATGAAGGCTCAATTTGCCTTAAAGTCAATTTTGCAAAAAAAAAAAAAGTATGTATAAAAGACATTTTGGCATGTTAATCAGGTAGGCAAGATGAGTCAAGGACTACATTTACACTAGAAAAAATAGTCTATCTTTGGGCAGAACTTGGATGAATTCCTATGTAATGTTTCATGTGCAACAGAGATAAAAATACATTTAACCATAGAAAATAGCAACTAGTATGTATCTCTTGGGCCAAATTAGGAAGAAATCCATCAGTCAAATGCAAAATAACTTAAATGCAGCTGGTGCTTTGTTAAATGGAAGTTGCTTTTCTAATTCCTGGACTTACACACAATTTTCTGATCAGTTCTGGTTTTTATGCAGTCTTTTGGAACCAAATATAGTACGCTAGAGTTGAAATTACGATTGCCTATGTATTGAAGGGTTGTTTCTTTGTGACAGCCATTTATGAAGAAGATACTAATTTGTGCCAGGTACACATAAATAAGTATATAATAACACTAACAGCTGGATACAAATGAAATTGTGCTCTGTCAGTGTTGCCTGGAGGAAAAAAAAAACTCTGGAATTCTTAGGGTGCTGAAGAGTTGCACTAGGAAAAATATTGCATGATTACAGCTTGTTTAGAAAACGAGCAATGTCTCATTTGAAGCCATGGTGCAAGACCCACGATGGTGTGTTTGACAGCAGAATACAACCCCTGGCACCTTGTGGTAGCCGAAGACATGATTAGTAACGTCCCTCTGTCTTTAAATCTTATGTAGCTTGTCTGAGAAAGAAATCTTGCCTGTCCTAGCACAGTTTTGGTGTCAGCTGTATTTAAACTCATGGTCTATATAGCATCTGAACTCTGCTGAAGTGTAGAGACTGTTTTTCTTTGCATTTATTTGATAATGTCTTGGTCCAGCAAGGGCCTAAAGTGTGTATTCTTTTCTAAATTAAACAAAATTATTGTCTTTATTGGTGATGAAAGGATCCAACAAAGTCTCTCTTCTGCCCCTTTCTTTTATTTTATGAAGTCCGCACTTGTTTTGTGAGTGATCTCCAACGCGGGCTGAAAATCCAAGCAGCCAAGTTCAACATTGATGGCAGTGCTGAGGTGGGTGGAGAATGAAGCTTATCCTAGTCTTTTGAAGTGGATGTAGCCTTTTTGGCCTCTAAAATAATGCATGTTTTTATTTCTAGCGTCCTTCACCACCTCCAGACGTGGACTATCCTTTAGATGGAGAAAAGATTCTCCATGTAGTTGGCCCCATCAGGTGAGAAATACCGTAGCAGAGTATTTATATATTTTCAATATATAAATAAATACTTTCAATATATTTCAAATATATAAATATATTTTCAACTCCAAAAGCACATAAATTTTCATAAAATTGAATTTTAATGAAAAAAAGCATATGCTTTTAATGTCTCTTAAATTACGGCTTTGTGCTGGGCACAGTGCAAGCCCATAATAAGAGGTGTCAGCTTCTCTGGAGAGCTCACAGTGGAAGATGAGAGCAAACAGATTGGAGGGATGGTGGAAACAGAAATGGAGTATTAATGCAGGATGATGAGATAGGTTTAGTGAAGTGAACAGGGCATTGTCTCCTACCCATTGGCACTGCATGGTATGACAGAAGAAGTAGTGATGGTGTGGTGTCAGCAGTTTTTCTGTAGTTATTTCCAGCCCTGCTGTTCGTGAGTGTTAGCTCATAGTGTAGTATTGCTTCTCATTATACACTCATTTCCTGTCTTTTCAACAGGGACTCCGTTGTCGAAATACTGTTTGAACAGGATAATGAAGAGACATCTGTTGCCACTTTGATCTTAGATTCACTCATTCAGGTATCTTTATATTATAAACAATTTATTGAATGCCTCCAGCCTTAGAGAACCTACTGTTATAAATGACTCTTTCTAGAGTAACACCCTTCTGACTGCAGGTTGCGATTGGTTGAAAAAGTTTAGCACAGCATGACTCCTAGGGTTCTGTCACATGATGGATTTCTGTGGGGTAGTAAGTCACCATGTGTCACCTACTCTGTGATTGTTTTCTTACTCTTTGGTATACTGCAATGTGTCTGGGACAGTTTTCTAAGAAACGCAGTGTTCACCCATCAGCAAAAGTAATAAACTAGCTTGTGTTTATTTGGGAGTGAGGCTCTACATATGTAATGACGAAGGAATAGGTAATACTTGGCATTATAGGAATTACACTGCTTAAACTGAAATGCCATAGGTATTCTGCTGCTTCTTTTTTCAAGGTGTTTTGCTAAGAGTTAGATTTTGAGTCCTGCAGACTTCTGGTTTACCTGAGATAGAATAAAATTAATTTGGACATCTCTGTTACAGGCAGTATATTAGCTGTATTATGGAAAACTTTCCTGGCATATACAAATGCTTCATTACTTGTTATATGTAGGAAAAAATGGATTAGAAAACCACTATAAATGGAAATTTTCATTATATGCTGCTATATGTATGTTAATTAAAGTTGACTTCCTGGACTTATTGATGCCATTTAAATTAGTTTGCTGAGACATAATTTATTGGATAGCCATAGGCTTGGATGACATGACAAATATTTCGGTTAGAATTCCTTATGAAAACAAATTGTTTAACAAGATCTGTGCCTAGACCCCTCACCTCTGTACCTCTAGGCATTTACCTTGCATCACTCTTTGGCCAGAAGAAAGACAAATGTTAAATTTACAAGTGTTAGATAGTGTCCAGTTGCTTCCGCTGGACAAGAGGACCACAGCAGTCTGGAATTTTTTTCAAAGGGATAGCGCAGATCTGTTTCTGAGGGGCGGAACTGACGAAGCTTGGTCTTCTCATGCCTTTGTGTCTTCTGGTTGGATTATCTGATGCCTAAGACAAGCTCCAGCAGAAACCTTTTCTGCCACTGAGACTTTTGTAGCACTTTTGTCCCACGTGGAGCTAAAAAGAGTCAGTCTCATATGTAACAGTTTTCCCTCTCTGAGAGCACTGAGTGAGGCTTTACCTCTCTGGCCCATCTTCTCCCAGAACTCATGAGAGTTACTGTGACTGATACCTCTGTCCTCTGTTGTTGGCCTGTCTCAGCTGAAGGGCTTTAGAGGGATCCAATGTGCTCATGTAAGCCTCAACTGGGCAGTTCCTTAAGCCTGGTTTTCTTGGGAAGTCTGGACAAAAAATGATGCAGATTATGTTTCAGCTGAGTATGAGAAAACAGCAATTGAAGTGCATAGAAGGACCTTTGAATGCTTGTACATGTAACTCTAACTAAAGTGGATTTTTTATTCCTGTTCGCATTAGTGTCCCATAGACACCAGGAAGCAGCTGGCAGAGAACTTGGTAGTTATCGGTGGCACCGCTATGTTGCCAGGATTCCTTCACAGGCTCATGGCTGAAATCAGATACCTGGTAGAGAAACCAAAATACAAAGAAGCACTTGCCACTAAAACCTTCAGAATTCACACTCCACCTGCCAAACCCAACTGTGTGGCCTGGCTGGGAGGTAAGAATGAAAACAACTGTTAAGCAAAGGTACAAAGTGGGAAAAACAAACCTTCCAAGTGGGATTTGTAATGAATAAATAGCAGGAGAACTTAGGCAAACTATTGAAATTAAGCTGCATTGGAGCTCTGTGGAATTGTTTTGCCCTCCTGGAAGAAATCTTGTGGAGTAAAGCTCCCTCGGGGGTGTTTGGAGGGCAGAATGGCGCTGCAGGTTATGGGAGCTTTGAACAGGTGACTTGCACTTTCAAACAGCAGTGTGGAAGATGAGGTGTTGACTCAAGTGCGGTACAGGGCTACTGCCATATGGTGGCACCAGTGAAGTGATTAGGCAGAGCAGAGACCTGCTGCCTGTAGGAAGATCTGCTTATTGAAAAAACAAGTTTAATTATGGACTGAGGAGCTGTGAGCTACGGAGAGGCCGGAGGCTGCTAACTCCCTGTGCTGTTCCCAAGTACCAATAACAAATACAGCAACTGTGCGATGGATTTTGGGATGCTGTACTGGCAAGCTAGGGAAAAAGAAGGGCTTTCCGATACTAGCAGCTCTTTTTAGGAAAATTCTGAGGTTGAGAAGACTTCATGCTTTTCTAAACTTAAGGTATATAAGCTGAGCCCATCTGGTATGTATGAGGAGAACTAACTTTAACTGTAAAGGTAGATTTTATTTCCATATGCTTTGAAATGTGAATGTTTGTAAAATTCTAGTTTTAAACCTTTTTGAGTCTTTTTAGGGTTAGCAAACAAGAATGATTTATATGCACCAAGTTCTGTGATAGTTTTCTTCACTGGCAGTGCTAGTCAGCTACTGTGGTCTGAATCCTCTAACAGCTTGTGTAAACTTCTTCTGGGTATTGTGTGACACCCTTCTTGGGGAGAGGAAATTTCCTTAAACACAAGGTGGTTTGTTTAAAGTGCTTAAAATCAAAACTTCTAGGAAACTTTGTCGTAAGAAGCAGGTCGGCTAGGCCAGCTGGCAGTTTTGCTGTCAGCAGAGTAGATGACTCTTTGCTTTCAGTTACTTTCAAGGGACATAAATGGAAGCAATTTGGGACTAGCTGTGCTAACTGAAAAGGAAGGTGGCTAGATCCTTTCATTCCTTTCATTTTGGGGACAGACCTGAAAAAGAATAATGGAGATTCTTGATGGGAAGAAGTAGAAAAAGAAATTCAGTACATTAAATTAATGCAATATTTTTTTTCCCCCAATAATGTAGGAGCCATTTTTGGAGCACTTCAGGACATACTTGGGAGCCGGTCTGTGTCCAAAGAATATTACAGCCAGACAGGCCGCATACCTGACTGGTGCTGTCTTAATAATCCTCCACTGGAAATGATGTTTGATGTTGGAAAAGCACCCCCGCCATTGATGAAGAGGGCTTTTTCTACTGAGAAATAAGCACCTAAATGCTACACAAGGATTCTTCTCCTCTAGTTCAAGTAGATATATATGCTTTTTTTTTTTGTATTAAGTAATTTGTGTGTGACACTATTAAATATGAACAATGTGGACGTTTTGGAGAGTATCGTGGTAGGTACTAACACTATTTAAAACCACATCCAGTTATAGTTTAAAAACTAACTCTGGCAACCACTATGCTATTTTGTCTTCTTCTGAAGAAATTCTGTACCGTCATGAGTTGTAGCCTACTGAGTTGTTTGTTATTTATCTGTACAGTAAATGTCATTGTTGAGAGAATTTGTTTTAAGATATTTTGATTTTAAATGTGCTTAGAAGAATGAAGGACAGTCTACTGTGGGAAACATCTATGAAAGCTTTTCTGCCAAATTCTGCATTAAAATATTCCACCCTTGAATCACATGTGTGGAAATGGTTTGGGGCTGTTTAGCAAAGGTGCTGGAGCAGTATTTCCCCTCGACACAGTCCTGTCTTGAGAGTTTTAGCAGAGAACTCTTCTGCCTGTAATTCTCAAACAGTGCTGAGCTAAAAACTCTCCCACTATCTCTCCTCCTAGAAAGAAATCAGCCATGTAAGAATTATAAACAAGTGTGAGGAAATACTGAGTCTCTTATTGAAATGTCAATCTCAGAAGTCGCTTTTTTGCCCTCCTTCCCACCATCAGAAATATTAAACTTCATTGTCCCACAGCAATACGTATTAAATGAAAATGCAATACAAAGTTCATTGCTTAAGAAAAAAAAGTACATTTGGATATTAACACTATATTTAGGAACTGTTGGCTAATTAATAGGCTCTTAGCAATGCTGTAACTTTACATATTGAAGGAGAAGGAGCACTCCCGTGGGAAAACAAACATATGTTTCCATTCTTCTGCTAGTGCTGCTGGTTTTGGTTTGTCACGATTCTCACTATCCTTCCATAATACTGCTGTGAATTAACTTCACAGGCAGAGCTGTGGTTCCCGGTGTGTGCTCCGGGCAGTGCCAGTGCACCTCAGCAGCATCGCTGAGATGCTGGGAGAGGGGTTTCCCCTGGCCTCAAATACCACTAAACTTGCCAGCAACAAGCTGAATTTGACTCGCTGACTAAATGGTGACCCTGCTGGTATCTGTTGATTACTGAGGTTTAATCCTACTCTGAGGAGTAATTGTTTATCTCAAATTTGGGGAGATATAATTATAAAATTAGTGGGGGTGGTGGAGTCTTTTATTGCCACAAACGTGCTTGTTGTGACTGATTTTCCATGCTGTCTGCTACCTACCTGCTGTGGTTCCCGAAGCACGTTTCTTGAAGTTAAGCATATATTTAAAGAAACGTTCTTGTGGTGAAACTTAACACAGGGCTGTGTGCTATGGCATTTAAGTAAGCTTCTGCACGATTTTGTCATTCTGTTTCATATATGCTTTACCTTAACATATGGTGTTAGTTGGCACATGGTAGGACATACCCCTTTTTATCTTCATGGTTTTCAAATTAAGAAAAAAACAACAAAAAACAGGAATCGCTGCTTAAAGTGTTAGTCTGTCATAGGTGAGACTTTGCTGGTTGGCAACAGTGATCCGATAGTATTACCACGGATGATTTCTCTCTGGTGGGTGTATTTTTAAATTGCCTTTTTCCTAATTCAAATGAGCTGTGTGGCTGTTACACAGACAGCATAGAAAAATAAACAGGCATGGTTGTGAGTAGTTGTTAATGGTTGTTTTATAGTCCTGGGATGAGGTTGGTCTTTTAGAGATCATTTCTTAGTCTTCGAAGCACGATGGGGCCTGGCCAGTGCCTCTTCGGACTGGAGACTCTCACGTCAGTGCAAACACTTTCTGGGTTTCCAGGTCAAACGAGTTGCAATTACCATGCACAAGAAGTTTTCTGTGGCAGCCTGAGGATGAGAATGGTATGCTGTGACACAGAAACAGGTTCTTCAAAATGTACTGTCAGGCCTGGACTTGGAAAAACAGATTAAACGCTATAGCTAGGTACATGTGTTCCCATCGTGTCTGGTATTTAGCATTCTTTCACATCTTAGGGTTCTTCTCTTACTTACTTCTATAAGCCTACGGTCCTTTTACGGTTTAATATCCTTGGGGATGTTCATTCCCCAGCAGATTCCTTGAATGCCTACATTCCCTTTGTTTTCTTGAGTGTTTGGGACCTTCACTCTTAATTTGTTCCCCCTTACCAAGCCCTTCTTATCTCCCCTGCAGCGAGACCGAGGACTACGGGGTTGGGCGCAAGTGGAGAGCGTCCCCTCCAGCAGGGCCTCGCTGTGCGGTACGCTGCTCAGCTGCACTGCCCCGCCATAGCCTTTCTCCCGAGGCGTAACACCTACGGGGCTGGGCAGGAGACTCAAGGATCCAGGTGCTGCTGGCAAGAAAACCTGTGGGTGAGGTCTGGTTCTCCTGAACAAGGGAGGAGCAATAGAGTCTAATACTTAGTGCGTGAGGTTGACCCGTCTGGAGCAGTCTTTGGCAAGGATTTGGGATATCAGTAGGTTTCTGAGTGACTTCGGAAAGTATATATGATTGCAACAGTTGTGCTTAATAAAGCAAAATGGATAAAAATGCAGTTTTTGGAGACCAGCCTGCTACATCCCTGTTCTTAACTTACAAATTGTTCTTAACAATCTGTGGTGCAATTACAGGCTTGCTAAATAGAGGCTATTTCGTTGCAAGGCCCAGAGAGCCATCCTTATGCCTGGGTAAAGAACATTCAGACCCAAGCTCTGCTGCTCATTTTCATTTATAATTTGAATAATTGGGATGCAGCTCCGTGACCCAAATTGTCTCAGTAAGAACTGAGCCAGACCTACTGAGGCTTGCTCCTGAAAGAAGAGTTTGCCATCGGCACGAGTCCTGTGGAGCTGGGAGGGATTACTCATGTCCGTAAGTAGTTCTCAGTAGGAAGGATATGCAGGGGAGATTAAACTCCTACGGGGGCCGTGTTCGTGGTGGTGCAATGATGTCATTTTCCTGAACTGCAGCAGACTGCAGTTCCCTTTTCAGGGATATTTCTGCTGTGCGCTTGTACTCTGGGACCTTTCACAAGCCTGGCATGTTCTGCCACCTCGCCTTCGTTCTGCCCGCTCTTCTCTTCTGCGGGGTTTCTGCATCGCTGAACAGCTTCATCAGCTGCTGTTTCACACTGCGTAACCAGAAATCCTAACTCCTATGTTACTGGCAGGTTTAAGCACAGAGTCCCATGACCCGTTAAGGACAGAAACAGGATTCTTATTTCATCAAAGGGGTGAGGAAAGACTTATCACATGCTTTTCAGAACGACTAGCCCTGGAAAGCCCTTAGAGACCACACCTTAAATGTGTTACCGTGTAGAAAGGGGTTTGGCTTATTTTTTTCAGTCTAAATGTTGTAGTTCTTGCTTCAGTGGCGTGGCAGGGATCCATGGATCCTCACAGCAGACAAATTCACAGTGAACTCAAGTGTTTTATCAGGAAGGACAGTGACAGACACAACCCCCTGCAGTAACTGGAGCTTTTTCCTCTGAGGTTCTTGATTCTGGACTGGATGCTGTTCCTGAAGGTTGGTGTTAGTTGAGCAAACAGCTCCAGCTGGGCTGAGTCCTGCTGACAGGAGGAATACTTTGGAATATTCATGAGCACGGCCCTCTGCAGTCTGCCCGGTGTCCGTGCTGCGTCTGTGGGAGCTGGTCTCTGGGGGAGGCAGCTTTAACTCATTCCCCTCATCTCCCTTTTCATAGGATCACAGAATATCCCAAGTTGGAAGGGACCCATAAGGATCATTGAGTGCAACTCCCTGCTCCTCGCAGGACTGCCTAAAACTAAGCCATATGACTAAAAGCATTGTCCAGACGCTCCTTGAACTCTGACGGTCTTGGTGCCATGACCACTTCCCTGGGGAGCCTGTTCCAGTGACCGGCCATCCTCTCAGTGAAGAACCTTTTCCTAATGTCCAACCTGAACTTCCACTGACGCAGCTTTATTCCCTTTCCTCGTGTCCTGTTGCTGGTCACTAGAGAGGAGATCAACACCTCCCCCTCTACCACCCCCACCCCCCCCCTGA